AAAAAAAGTGCCTTTTCTTGAGAGGTTAAGCAATATTTGTTTAGTTTGGAAAGATACAGAACTGAACATTTTGAAAATGAGCAGACATACTGTATGTAGCTTAGACTTCCATCAGAATCCGTGTCTTCAGCAGGAAGGACAGAATGAAGCCACATCAGAGAGGTCAAATATTTGTCTGGTTGTTGTATTATTCTTTGTACCAAGGTTCTGATTAGATGATGAAATAGGGACAGTTGAAATATAGTCAACAATTTGTTAAAATAGCTTTTACCTTAATATGCTTGGCAGGCTAATGGTACCAAGAGTGTGATTGCATCTCAGGAAGTTGTAATATTGCTATTAAACAGTTCAATTTAAAATTATTATCTTCCCAGAAATATGCTTAACTCACAAAATCTTTTCCACATACCATTAAGATTTTCAGACAGAACTTGGTACTGTGTTGCAGTAATGAGTTGTCAACTTCTTACTGCTTCTTACCACTTCATGTATCAATATGGATCTTTATTTTCCCAGTTACTCGGGACTTGATGTTGAAAAGGGCCTCCTTTTTCATTTTCTTCCTTTAACAATGAAAATTCAGTGTTGTTTACCTTAATTTCCAACTGTAGCAGACAAAAGCTGAATACAAATTTGATACTAATACAAACTTGAAACTAATTTTTTAGTAATAATGTGATAGGAGGCAAATTTTGAACCAGTCAGGTGTTTATAAGATCCATTATGAATCAACCCCACATTAGTGAGATTAACACAATTGTATCTGTGTTTTACCTTGCCAAATCCCTCCAGGGGATAAAAATGATAAAGAGGGACAAAAGGCATTATTTAGGAAAGCACTTGAGTATATGCTTCACTCAAAAAGATGTAGGTGCATGCTTAAAATAAAGTATACTTTAAATACGTTTCCTGGATTAGGACTACAGAAAGCAAAACCTAGGGTACATACAATAAAGATTGAAAGAAAAATTGAAAAATAAGGAGACAATAAAGTCAGTGGAGGAAAGAGAACAGATTTTATATATATATATGTGTGTGTATATATATATATATATATATATTTTTTAATATGAATAGTATCTGTTATAAAAAGAACGGCCAGTCATGCCAATTCATGTTTTCAAAGCTTAGATTGAGCTTTGGTACATGACATTTCTGTTCATCTTTTTCTAATGGGGAAGAAAATGTCTCCTTACTGAAAAATAGCTTGGAGTTGAGAAGAAGGTTATAAACTTGAACTTTTGATAAATCTAAACACACGCTGGAGGAAGTCAGCACACCTTTATTTTTCTCTAGCAAAATACAATTGATATTCAAACAGTGGTGCTTCTGGAAATTGTGTCAGGCATCAACTCAGCTGACAAGGCTTTTCGTGTTTGTGAGAAGGCTGGCAACACCTCATTTTACTAGGTTGCAGGTCATGCTTCACTGTGCATATATTTAAAAAAAGAGAGGTTCACGGATGGTCTCTGGCTTTGCTTTTAGAAGCTTTGCAATGAGATTGTAGTTTTTACGAGATGCCTTTGAAATAACACCTCTTTAATTCCCCTGAAGCTTTTCTAAAATGGACTTTAGTGGCTTTGCTGCCGAATGAAGATTACCCCGAAGACACATTTGTGATGATTTTACTTGGTCACCTTCCCCCTTTTAAAGATGTATTTCTAATCCCAAGTACACCAGAGCATTACTCAAGGCATATTGCATGATTTTATTCCGGTACTCTGCTGGTTTGGTATCGGTATGCAAGTATGTCATCTCTCTTGAATAAAGGCAGCTGCGAGCATGTGGTGCGCTCTGTAGGTGGCTTCAGGTCGAAGAAGCTGCATTCTTTCAGGTGGGAAATCAACCTGTCAGGCTGAGTTATGGAAACATGATTAGTTTGCAGAGTTCATTAAATGAAAACTTTTGCAGCTCTGGGTTCCCCTTGCTCGCTGTGTTTGGTATAGCGAAACAATCCGGTTTTTCATTCGCTGAGTGGAATACCATGTGTAGACCCAGCGGGAGGACATTCCAGATTTCCCGTTGATTTCCTCTACCAGAAAGTCATTTTGTGATCTCTCTGGTGTCACGTATAGTATCTGTATTGTCAGTTCTCCTTTGTCTTGCTCTCTCACTGTTGGGTATATGCACAAAGCAGCATTTAGATAAAATGAGGAAGACTGTCATGTAACAGAATATCTCAATCAGACTATTACACTTGCCCTTAAGATATTTTAGTACAGAAAATGAGTAATGATACCTGCTTAGATATGTGACATTTGCAGCCCGAAAGAATTGTGTCCGCAAAAAAATTTTCTGCACAGAATACGGTGTAGGGTTTGATGAAAACGGTCTCTCTGGCTCCAGATATTGCTGTCCTTCACTATTTTGAGCAGCTCAGGGGCTCCCCAGGTTGGAGGAGCTCCCCAGTCATGATAAATTCCACTCACTGACAGCAAGGGACCAAAATCTGGTACCTCTTTACTTTTATCATTGGTTCAATGGTATTTGCCCCCCTTATTTTTACATCCCTATTCCGGATCACATCCTTCCTCAGTGAATGGGACTGTAGGATCCAGAATCAGCCTGCCGTAGCATAGCCATCACAAAGCTCTGCAACAGCAGCAACATGATCGAGGAAGTCATTCCTATCAGAAGAGCTCATCACTTGTACTCCCCATATTTTCCAGTTTGTCAGCAGTATTATCAAAAATAAAAGCAAACTGAAACTATTTTCACAGGCTTTTGAGGGCACTTGGAAACGTGTTCATCTGACTTGGACATGCGTTAGGAGTTAGGTGTCTTCATTGCTTTTTGCGCCTTTGAAAAAATCATCCCTTAGAAGGATTTTCAAGAGGGCAAGGAATTGATATTTATTTCTAAGTTTGTAACCCAAAAACATTCTTTCTAACGAGAAGTATCATGTTCTGTTAAGCTAAAAGTGGCAGCTTCTGACTTAAAAGCCAACTGTTATCAGTCAGGTGTAGATTCTTCTCTGAGCACTAAGAAATATGCTTAAAAGGTTGTGCAGTTCTGACTTATACAATAGCTGCAGTCTGCTTGTCTTTTTGGAGAAGATGTAAAAGGTCAATGAGGTACAATTGCTGTACTGTAATATTTGCAGATAAAGTACCAGATAAGATCTAATTTATAAAAGAAACATCATGAGCTATCCATGATTAATTTTATACTTTCCTTTTAAGCAGCTGTCTGTAGATAATTGGTTAACAGCTTAAAGGTTTGTTTAATAAATGCTTAGGGTAAATGGAGCTGAAAATTCAGAGAAATGGCTCAATTTGCTCAGTATTCAGTGAAATCAGCTGATGCGTCGGCCAGTTGTACATGTACGATTCTGACTAATTGATCACAAGTGTTAGCCCCCATTCCTACACGTTCCTATGAGTGCGTGCATCTTCAGTAGTGTCCTTTAAAAACGTGTATTTGTTACATCTGCTGTATACTGAAGGTAAATGCGTGTTATGCCCTTCGCTCACTGTACCCTATCCTCATTAATTTTTAGCTTAGCCTGGGGTTAAAGCCTTTTGACACTAGATAAGATGGCAACACATGAATACTGAGTAATGAGACCACGAGCAGTACCGATTAGCATCTCCCACATAATTACATGCAAGACTGAAAAATAACCTCTCTTGAATCTATTTTGGCATGTTTTAAAAGGAGTAGAACATACAGCTTGGGTACAATATAAGCACATAATCCCTGATAAAGCAACATGAGTACTTTTTCTTTACAGTAATACGGTCTTGTGGATATAAATTATATCTAGCTTATTTTTTTCTATTTTTTTCTTTTCTAATATTTTGAGAATTAGTAATTAATAACTGCTGTTTTTCTTAACTTCCCTAAAGATTTTTTTTCCCTCTCAGAATATATTATTTGAAATTAATAATAATAATAATAAAAATAAAAAATAGTAAGGTGAGAACTGTAAGCCTAGATGTCTAGTCCTATTGTGATTTCTTTTTGGGGAAGTACAGGGCAAAGAAAAAAACATAAAGGGTACCCATGATCCACAAATGTATGCAGTGGGATTAAATGCCTCAGGTTTACGCATTATTCAGTTGGTCTCTGGAAAAATCTCTGAATTTCTTTCAGTGCAATGTCATATTTCACAGAAGTATTGGTAGTTTTTTCCTTAGAAAATGAGAAAAATAGGTCTAGAAAGTTGAGGCCTTTTTCCAGTGACTAAGGATATCTGTTGTGTTAGTCAGCCTGTCTGCATCTTCATAGCAGTGGTGTAGGGAGAGCTTCTCAGATTTAACACTAGATCAATACGAAGGCTGCCAGGGTCTGGTGAAGGAAATCAGGGGACACATTGTCATCTTGTCTCTGCTGCATGTCGTACAGCTCATACAAATCAAAGCACTTGGGTGGTGACAAGTGATGTTTCTATTCCAATCGATCGCAGCTGAGTGAACTGTCCTGGAGGGAATCACTGTCTTTTGGAGTCAGGTGTCCTGTGGTTGGGTTTCAGACATGGTATGCGTTCCATCAGTGCAGCTGATATGGTTGGAGTCTTACTTGGTACTACCTTTGTTTCTGCGGGAACTGAGTAGAAGCTACAGGTGGGTTCTGAGCATTGGTGAGCCTGGCCCTTGGTTCTCCCAAGTGGTCTAAAGGCAAACACGCCCATCACAATCGCCAAAGCCAAATTTATAGAAGTTAAAGGTCCAGCCTCAGAAGCAATGCACAAAAATTGAAGATGGAAATTCAAGGTGGGAAGTGGTGAAGCCGTGTTGGTTTTGGAGGCCATATGCCAGCCTATACCAGTTGGTTGTTTCAACATAAGGTCATTTTTCAGCAGAGGTCTTGTTGCTTATCATGGTCTTTTATAGCCCAGTTTCATATTGTAAATTGGTAAGTGGCTATTCCTCCGTTGGAGCTGCTCCCAGCAGGAGGGTGCCTGGGGAGATTAACTCAAAAAGATCAGCTGGCCTCATCATTCCTGGAAAAGCTGGTAGGCAAATGTTTTTATTATTATTATCTTTTTTTTTTTCCAGGATGGCAAACCAAACCAACCATCTTTTCAGCTGATTTTTCTCCTTCTCCAACAAATATTGAATTGAGTCAAAACTGAGGCTGAATGGTGACTGAATGAAAAACTTAACTGGCACAGTTTCCTCTTTGCAGCTCTCTAGAGTAGCTGGATCCCATAAGATTCCTTTTAGGATTCAGACCTTGCTGTTTGAATTGTTCACAACTACTGCAGAGGATCGGGGCAGCCAGGCACCTGTGTTCACTTCATCTGCTTTGAAGAACTTTCACCCGTGGGGGACAAGTTTCTAACCTGTGGAACAAGGGAAGTCTAGACAATATCTGCCCGTTATCTTAATTTATTTTCTGTTTAATAGCTGCAATTTTGTTGTTGAGTTTCTCATATTTTGAAGAGGAGTGTTGTAATGTGCTGATGAAGAAGATGGAAAGATTTACCCTTCTATTTTCTTGCCTGATGATAACCATGAAGAATGCTGTCCTATGTTTATTTAAGGGGTCAGTTAATATTTCATAAGTAAAATTTTTCCAATACTGTAGGCTTCAACTACAGGTCAGCAAGAGAATAAATCGGATGATGAAGCAATTTCACTAGTTGTTTTCTGGTTTTTGCTTTTTTTTTTTTTTTTTAACATTATGAACATTGTTTATCTAAAGTGTTGGTAGGTTATGCAGCTTGGAAACTTGTCCACATAGAACAGAGAATTTTGCCAAACATTTCTACAATGTTTTTGCTGCACTAGGGCCAGAGTGAACTGAGAATTATCAGATTTGTTGTTCATGATTAAACTGCTCAGTCATCTTGTGCCTGAGTCATCAGGATTTTCATTCCTGCTTTAAGGAAAATGAAAGGAAAATAAACATTACTAGCCTATACAGATCTAGGTGGGACTGTGATATTCACGTACCAAACATTTTATGTAGTTACTAACTTGAAGAAGAGAGAGTAAAGAGTATGACGCTGGTAGTATTTTACATGTATTAGCATGAGTAACAAACGTTTATGAATACACGTACAAGCAACCTGCTCTCTTCAACGGCCGACTGCCGATTTTTCCCAGCGTTCCCAATATCCCCCTCCACCGATCCTGCGTGCGCAGACCGCCTCTTGTCCACCCAGGAAAAAGCCAGTCCTACTACTTTCAGAACAGACCATGTATGTTGTAATAACAATATTTAGACATATGTAGTGAGGCAACATCCAGGAGATCAGGTTTTAACACTCGTAGCTGCAAACCTGGGCATCTCCTTCTACTATGGCAGGAATTGTATGGGATCTCTGTGTCCCTCTAAACTAATAGTAAATTCGTCCCCTACAGAGCTTTTTGTATATGGTAACCTGCCTCTCACTCTCAAATTTATGTCTATGGAGTGATTTCTTTAGCGTTTTACTGAAAGAACTTTAACGGCCTGAATAAATATTTCAAGGCAGATAAATTTTTGAAGGAAGGTCAGAGACAGACTGATTTGAATTGCCATTACAGAACATCAGTGAAGCAGCAATATTTTTAGTTATTTGTCAGCTGAGAACAAAGAGACTATCACATGTGTATTTGCACTGAAGACAGCGTGATCATCAGAGCAGCATAGGACTACTCAGAAGGCAAGTACCCCGAGGCTGGGATGAGGCTTTCAAACCTGCAACAAGACTGCAGATAAATAAATGGGAAGCATAAATAATATCACTTTGCATTTTCTGTCACTTTTCATCTACACGTCTATGATAGACTGATGCAACTGGGTATTGTTCCTATTCTGTATCTGCGCTAGCTGAGACATGGAGTGGATGAATAATGAGTCTAAGGTTAGGCAGTAAGTCAAAGATGGAGCAAGGAAGCCAAGAAGTCTCTATTCTTGCTTGCCAGCTGCAACTTAACTTTTCACCGCCTTCTCCTCCTTATCACTTGTATGTGCTAGAGCTTAAACTGAATTTTGGAGGCACTCAAAGCTAGCTACGCTAACCACTGCCAACAGCTTAACTTCAGATGTTTGAACATCTAATGAAAATTAGCTTGGTGCACATAGGAAAAATGTCAAAGACTATATCCATTTAATACAAGTACCCAGGAGAATTGAAGCACTTGCATAAAGGCAGTAAATTAACAATAATAATTTTAAAAAATATTAAAAAATAAGACTGTTCTGACTAGAACTGTAACATACTGACCTTGGAAGGAAAAAAAAAAAAAGAAACGAAGTCTTTCGTGTTTATGTCCTGAAGGCAACATTCTACCACCGCCACCCATCAAAACAGACATGATTAGTGGTACAGACCATCCAAACTATGAGAAATATACTTTGACAGAATTTTGTCTCGTTTTAGCACACAGGATTTGTTCATAAATAGATTTACCGACAGCTTTCCTCATATGCCTCACTGTTCAACAGTTTCTACATGCAATTCCAACGATGAAAAGTGAAGAAGAAATGGTGTCAATCACACACGCCATTTCAGCTATTGTAAAACTTGCAAAATATCTGACTATCAGTTTACTGTTTTATCAGTTACCAAAACCCATGCAGCAAGATCATTTCTGCCTAGTGTCACAGGTATTTTCGCTGGATTTTCTGTGCTGTATGACACATAGCAATTTTAAACAGTGCAAAATGAATGTAAACCAGTATACATGTAAGATGGTATTTAGACATGAAGTTCGTACACGTATTTAGTCTTAAATAACTAGCAGAACAGGATGTGCTTATTTATAAGTGCAAAACTTGAGGATTAATGCATGTACTTTATCTGGCTTTTATTTGAACATTTGATGTATATTTCCATATATATAGAATCCAGTATTCCTATAAGTTAGTTATTTGAAGCATAGTTTGTTCTTAATTCCAATTCATTTCTGACTTCTGTAATACGATACAATAGTATTAGGATTTCAATATTCTAATAAATTTTCCATGAATGTTTTGTGAAGCTTGTCTAGGATTGAATAGTACACGATGGTTAATTTTAAAAATAGAAAGTTAAAAAGCTTAATTTGATGAGTCTCCATTTTGATATTGAATATACTCTTTTGGGAATGAGAAAGTTTTGGTGTGACTTTGATGTTTCTTTCTGCTTGTTGAAAAGAGGGCAGTTAAGCTGGCTTGTATTTCTTTGCATCGAAGGTGGTCCGCTTTAGAGGAAGTGTACATGCCAGTACCTTTTCCAGTGATGTTCAACAGTCTTTAATGGATGATTAAGTGCTGTTAACACATTTGTCAGTTATAATTGTGTCTGTAGACAAGATCATCTAAAAATATTTGAAAATGTTATCACATGCTCTTGTTCTTGGGCAACATCTTTTCCCTTTCTTTTCAGCAAGTGGTCCAATTAACAAAATATTCCAGAAGAGTGAGAAGGGTACCTTTTAAGTCAATGTGGGGCTGGGTTTTTGTGGTCTTTTTTTTTTTTTTTTTTCCTTTTTTCTTGTGCTTTTGGTTTTGTGGTGTGGGGATTTTTTTTTTTTTATTGTGTTCTGTTGTTGCTTTTTTTTTTTTTTTTTGGGGGGGGGGGGGGGGGGGGAGGGGGGGGGGCTTAGTCCTGTCTTTAGTTTTGTAAAGACTAGACCACTGGAATTGTAAATAATAGTTGGATTGAACAATAATAGTTTTAAGCTAATTTGGAAGTATGTATGTAGTTGATTGCCAGCATACATTCCACAATCTTCCCAACTTAATTTCCAGGTTGTCCTGTGGGAATTGAAAAGCTACTTCTGACTGTAGTCTAATTGTAAACCTTTTCAGGCTTGTCTTAGAATGTGGGAAAGTTGTGTTAACATCTTTCTAGGCATTTTTGATGATAGATTTAAATATTTGGTTCTGACATCTTGCTCGATTTAAGAACATCCTTTGTAATTTAATATGTTTCAGATTAGCGTTTTTTCATTCATGAAAGAGTAAATCTTTTGTGTTTTGTTTCTCTGAAGTGGTTTGTTCAAGAGTCTAACAAGAAGTGTGTCCGATGTAAAGATGACGTTTTAGGGAAAAACTACTTATTTTGATTCAGCTAGCTATATGATCAAAGTAATAACAGCATTACTGTATCTTTGTTTTTCATTTTTCCTTTTAAAGATGAGAAGAAATAGTCTCATGGGTAAGTCCCCAGCTGGGGTTTTTGTGGTTGATTTTCTCTCTCTCTTGGATCCTTGTGTGAGAGCTGAATCCCTCCATTTCTTCCTCAGTCCCCTGTCTGTGGCACCACACTCTTATACCATGGGGATGGTGATGGGTTCAACATTAATCATGGTGTTACTATGATGTATAATGCTGGGTGTTCCTCTTCCTCTTCCCTATGTGAGCATATTCTTTGCATGAGTGGTTTATATGAAATGCAAATTTACCACTTCTCCTGGCGCTAGCTATCTTACAGAGCTTCTTAAAAATCGCTATGATTCTAGAAAGAGCTGTGACTGTGCAGGTGTTATGTTCATTTTCAGAAGCCAAAATGTTAATGTGTTTGTTGTACTAGTGAAAAACACTTCTCCTAAATTGGAACTGAGATGATTTTCTAGCTGCACTTTTATGATATTCCATTCCCACTCCTTGTGTCATCAGTGACCGGGAGCAGAGGCTGACACCTCTTTCTGCGCTTCCCCTCCTCAGGACTGCAGAGAGCAGCAGAGTGACCTCTCAGCCTCCTTCTCTCCCATGCTGGACAACCCAAGCGTCCTCAGCCCCTCCTCACAGGACATTCCCTCCATGTTCTTATACCAGCTCCATTGTCTGCCCTCCTCTGGGCACATTCTTTGCCCCGAGTTTGGCATGGCCAGTATTAGTCAATAGAGGTTAAGAGCCTGCGGTAGTTGGGCTTCAAATCTTCGTGTTCTTTGTGTGCCTGAGAAGATCGTGAATTAAGAGCTTTGGTGTTTTAGCCCTGATGGGGATAGCTGAGCAGGTTGTCTCCTGACGAACGGGAGTGGGTAGTGTTGGAGTAGGGCTTAGGGAGGGACCGCTTGGATGAAGCAGTTATGTGCAGACCCAAGTTCAGCAGGTTGGTTGATAAAAGCAGATTTATGAACCATCCCTAACAGTCAATATGGTTCTAACTGCTACAGTGGGGTTGTGTTTGGCATGCTTACGTGGTGTGAAGAGGCCTGCAAAAGTGGCATTTACTGGGAGCTATAGGACGTTATTTCAGGCTTGTGATACTAGAGCATTGTTCAGCTACAGATGTAGGTCTTTTCCACTAGAATTGCAGTAAGTGCAAGTTTCTGTTTGTCCCTCAGTTCCTTGTCTAATAAATGTTAGTAATGCAAACAGCCATTAATATAATAGTGCTCATCAGATAAAGACCCCTGTGTTTGGCTGCATTCAAGCACTGCGCTACAGTAGGTTTGATATGCTCTGAAGCTATTCAGTATGGTCTATGAAAAAGGCTGTAAATGCCAACGTGGTACTGCACCACAGTACTTCATTTGTGTCAGGGAAGGCATGTTACCAGTTAAATATTTAACCTACCCAGAAGCTGTGTTTGGCATCACTTTCCGCAGATGTTTAGAATGAAAAGCATATTATGAATGAGATCCTTCTCACCATATGACTGTTTGTGAAAAATATATCATTCATTAATTGAAATTGCTTTAAAAATCTGACAAA